TATATATATATAATGATAATAATTATGCACCTTTCATAAATTGCATGCCAAACATATTCAAAAATATTATCAGCAAGGAATCATTGTTATGCATATATGACATAACTCGATAAAAATAAAAAGGTTGTGTATTCAGGCGTAATGCGAAGTTAAATATTATAACTACTCTAACAAAATGAATGCATAAAAATTTGTGGCAATAAATCAATGTAAAGCGAACAATCACATCATATTAAGAGGATAATGTGAAATTCATTAAATAAATAAGCTAATTTCTCATACATTCATAAATAGTAAAACACATCGAGAAGTAACAAGGATTGCGCCCATAACAAGGAATGGTACGTTTATGTGTTACTTAGTACGAAGTCACTTAGCCGATGCATATCACAAAAGTCTAATATCTCGATCAAAAAGTGAATTTCTTGTCACAATGCACTGCGCTCCACTAACACCTAAATTCAAAAGAATATAATCACTCCCATAAAGGCAATTGTACAACATTTATTCAAGAGAAACAATAATTTAAAGATATGCTTTTGATATAATTGGTTTTACAAACTTCCCAAAGATTCACCCATTTCAATCACAAATAATTTGATATTTTCATATAGAATATTATTGACACTAAAGTTACAAGTTTCTTGGTACAACTGATAATAAATACGACCATAAAGCACAGATTGTGTATTTATGTGTGCTTTGCACTCGCCTAAATCATATTTCTTTCCTTGCCTATAAGCTTAGGTAAAATTCTACCTTTATATTCTCTAACTTATAAATTTATAAAAAATTTATTACGGAATTTAATTCAATCAATATAATTCAATCCATATATCAAAAAGGTTACATAAGATTAAACTCTCTACACATTCATATTAGAAAGTTAATATCACCCAATACTCATTTGTTTATTTAGTTAAATGTTTACCATTACTCTTATTACCATCCATTTTTCTTTAAACCAGAAACTAGTTGAAGATTTTAAAGCATTATTTATTGGTTTCATGCTTCCACGTTATCATTTGATTTAATCTATTGGAAAATAATGTAATTATCATTTGCCTCATATTTATTTAGAAACAACAACAAACAACAACAAAATCTTTATCCCACTAAGTAAGGTGAGCTGCATGAATCCTTTTTCTCCATTGAGACCTATTTAGTGTCCTATTTTCATTTAATTCCAATAAATTAAAAACATTTTTTATACAATATGCCTAAGTCTTCCGAGGTCTACCTCTGACTTTCTTAACATAAGTTGAATCTAAAGAATCCACTCTTTTAATCGGATCATTAGATGGTTGACGTTTAATTAAGATCATTATTTATAAACAATCAAACCTAAATCAATAAAAAAATTTGGGACTAGGATTTACCTAGAGTTGCACATCAAAAAAGATGATGATGATGATGTGAGAAAGAGAGAAAAAATTAAAAAAAAATTTGTCTACAGTCGCTTGATCCTCTCCCTCTCAACTCAACCGCTCCTATACCCTAATTCGCGATTGAGGGTTTAATAATAGGCAAGAAACTATGAAGTAGGGCGGTCGGGCCAGTCAGGTTGGACCAATTTGGTCCAGATTAAAAAAATAAGATATCACAGATTGCACGGCAAAGACCTACAGCTCTTACAAGAAGCGAGAAGCATATGGTAGCTAGTTATAGCCAAATAAGAGAGTATCTAGATCAACTAAAGGATTATGTGATTGGTATCATTAGGAGAGCATTGCGCCCTAACACTAGAATTTTAAAAATTAAGCTATTTGTTTGAAAAAAAATTAAAATTCAATGTAAAATAAATCTATATTTAAAACTTAGCTAAATCATTTACTTTGAATTAATAATTTGATCGATTTGGACAAATTCTTAAAACACAATTTAATATAAAATGACAACAACCTGGTCATCTTGCAAGGCACCGACAACAGCCGCCAACCCCCTCCACTATCGGTCGCTGCCACCATCCATCGACAACCGCCGCCACTGCCGCTTGTAGCCATCATTGGCCACCACCGCCACCCATTGGCCACAGCCCTCTCCGATAAGCAAATTACTTTTCAAATACATTATTTTCATTTACTTCAATCTATAAAAAATAAAATAAAATAAAGTTGTTCATTTATCTTACATTGAGCCAAACAACACTAAAGTATTTCAAATACAATATACTATTTTTGTTTTGTATTCATTTTACAATATATTACTTATTTAGCAAGCCAAATAGCCCCTAATAATAACAATAAATTTGGTACCCACTGCTTGTAATCGGACGTAGATTAAATCAATTCCTAGTGCAATCAGTCTTGTTTTACTTAAAAGCTCGATTTCTATAGAAAAATTAGCCTAAAAAAAACTTTCCTCGTTTCTATTCTATTTTCTGCACCTCTCACCTGGATTGTCAGTCCAAAAGGCTAGTTCTCGGGGGCCCTTCTTATCAGTTGCCGATAACCTTATCGCTGAAACCTTCTGCTGCTACTAACCCTCTGTCCTGCTAATTCGATAACTGCTGCTCTGCATCAGCTGCGATTATCCCATGGCTTTGCTTTGCTACATGCTGCTACTGCATTCCTATTCCACTGCCTTTACAAAGTCCAGATTGTGAAAATCAACCAATTGAGTGTAGAAAACAACAAAGGGAAAGTCTGTCAGCAGCAAGAGAAAAACTAACACTAAAAAGGACCACGGTCAAATTGGTGTCACATAGCATTGATTATTGATGCCCGGTACAAACAAGGTCATGATATCTAGACAAGTGAAAGATCCAACCCAGTCCCGTAGTTTAATAATAGCTGAGTTGATTGAATATTTCAACCAGATGAAGTTACTTTCAAAGTTAAGTTTCAAATTCTATTTAAACATATTAAATCAATACACTTGCTGAATCCGATCCTCTATAAGTAGTATAGAGTTGACATAGTTCAAAAACATCAAATCTCTCATAATAATCGAGTTGATAGAAGATTTCAACAGGAGATGTTCTATTTAAAATTATGCTTTAAAGCCTATCTGAAATTCAATTATTTCAATTTCAGAACCAATCCTCTTTAAATGAGGCAAAGTCGACAAAGTTCAAAGATGTCAAATCCTTGATGATGAACATGTTGAATGTAAATTTCAACCGGAGAGGTGAACTCATAAAATTCAAATTCAAATTATAAAAATTTAAAAAAAGTTATATTTAAATAAACATACTTTCACTTAAAAGCTAAAGAGTAAAATTCATCCACTTTCAGCAACCATTTATCGGTATATTTAAATTTGTTTGGATCAAATTCAAGCTCTCAAAGAGCCAATGTCATATCAAACATATTATTAAATTCATACTCAAAATGATCTCATGTCAGTAAGAAAGTAGCTGAAATCATTGATCCCTGTGGTTTTGGTTAGAAGGCTCCACAAAAGAATCGGTAACGATAAAAGCCTTTTGATAGAGTGATTTGGCCAATAGGCTACATTAAGAGGTTTGTCTAATAAGATTCATTGTAAAACAATCACGGCTGCAACCCGTGTATTTCCAATATTCTACCTATTTGAGTTATGAATCATACGATATACTTAATAGGACATAAAACCCTCTGTAAGCTAAGGTTAACTTATATTAGTTTTCATAAACAAACAACCACTCTAGGTTTACAAAATTTTCTTGGATGAAACAACTCATGGCAAATGATAAAGATCATTCTACCAAGTTGGGTCGACTACCTCTTCAAATTAAAAAAACCAGGGACCAAAACAACCCTAGAAGACAGATCAGGTTCGTCATCATTTCCCCCACCATCCACTTTTAAGCTCACAATGACAATTTCATAATTTAAAATTTTAAAGTTCATATTACTATATGCTAAGCCTGAATATATAGCACCTAATAATTAGCCTTAATCGAAAGTGCTCTCTCTTTATCAAGAGAGGTAATTAATCATAGAGATTTGTACTAATAAGAAACTTTAAACCCTAGATCTTAAATTCTCACAAAATGAGAGCAAAATCTCTTGGTAGTGTCTTCTTCTGAAAAATTTAACCCAAAACCTAACAATAAGCTTCCCTTATCTCATTCTCATTTTCCTTTTTTTATTCTTTTCAAGGGAGGTTGAGACATTCGAATTTTGGAGCCCACAGTAAGAAGGGTAATAAAATATCACATAACTTTAAGGAATTTTTTTTTTATTAAATCCCTGAAGAAAAACTATTCCAAACTTATCTTTACGCATTGAAGAGGCATGGAAATTGCGTGGCTTTCTTAAGCAACCATGAAAAAAATACCTTGTGCCTCTTGCAATTGTTGATAGATCCGCAATAGAAGAATATGTTTTATCATGATCTTAATTCACTAGAACTAAATGCAAAGATGACACTAAATAGGACGCAATGGAGAAAAAGGATTCATGTAGCCGACCCCACGTAGTGGGATTAAGGCTTTGTTGTTGTTGTATGCTAATCACCTGCATCATTTCAACAAAATTTGACTTAACAATTTCAGATGCAAGTAACTAAAGAATTGGAGCCCTAAATCTACTATGCGGTTGCTATGTTAACCTGCCTGCATAAAAAATGGCATGCAATACTGCTTGATCAGATGTCATTATTGGAGATAAATAAAGCTTTGCCGAGAAAGAAGAAAAAGAAATGCAATTAATAGATAAAATTAAAGGGGCATCTACATACATACCACCCAATTCCCATGTCTTTGCATATCTAACACCTAAACTTTGCTTTTTTACATTTATACCAGCCAAATCTTTCATATCACATCAAAAATATCATTATTTTAACATTTAAAAAGTGAAATACACCTTTTCAAGCACAAATAGGAGGCATATGTGAAATTTGAAATTTAGGTGTATTACCCTCTAAAAAAGTTCCAAAGAGTTCCAAAGATCACTCTACTTCACAAGTCCCTTCAGAATCGGAGGATAGGGGTAACAGTGTGCACCTGCCAAGTAGATGTCCATTCAAGCACACATAATAATCTATGCAATCATCATAAGAACCCAATCTGCTGCCCGCACTCTTGGGTATCATTTTTGCCTGTAGCATGCTCCACATCTTTGCTTTACAATATGGACAAGCCTCAGTTGGATCGAATTTAGCTCCCCTGTCAACCAACATCTTCCTGACCTTTGAGACAAAAAATGACTTGAAGACACCACGAAAAAACCCCACATCACAATCCTCTGCCTGATCAATATGCTCACAAGGGTCTGAGACATACAGGACATCTGTTCTACACTGTGGAATGAGAAAGCTTTGGCCTGATGTCCTTGAAAAACGTGTTTGATGGACAAAGTGACTTGGGATATGCATGCTATTAAACAGACCCTTTTTGCTGCATCCAGAACAATATGTTAGAAGTTTGGCAAGCGCTTTCCAGTTCCCATACCCAGTTTGACTACCACTAGATTGCAAATCTAACATCATCTTTGGAGCTCGGCTTCGACAGAACTCCTTCCATAGCACTCGTTTGGCAATATCATCAAACCATTTGCAAACACAAGAAATTACTGCAATTAATCTAGGATTCCAGTTGAGGTGCTGAAATATAAGAAATATAGCATCCTCACTTAGATGGCGTTTAGTGCATATACAGATTGCTGAGTGGATGCAGCGGTACTGCTTCATCACAAAAATAAATAAAACAGATGACAGCGGATGAACTATCTTTTTTGCACCTGCTTGAAATTTATTTAAATACATAATTAATTAAAATGGCACTAGACAATCATACACAAGAAAATTTAATATAATACAGAAGGTTGAGAAGACTTCATAAACCTAGGTGACACCTTACAATCATTAACTGTCAGAAACAAAATAACTTCACGTCAATATATGTCACCAAGATACCTTACTCTTACATGCATGGCATTTTACATCATAGACTAGAAAAAGAAAATAAGCCTTTACTTTACAACAGTGACACAAATCTGCATTTGCCCAAGCTTTTGAAATTTTTCATGATACTTTACTCAAATAAGGCGTCAACAAATACTTCACCTCCAAGAACCATTTCAAACGGGAACACACAACTCAAAGCATCTGTCCAAATAGCAGATTTTTGAGGTAGCCTCCCTAAAGCTAAAGCCTTAATATGTTTGCTCATTTTCTTATTTGTTTCTTTTCTTCATACTTTATACTTATTAACATACATCAACATTAGGATGCTATGATGAAAAATCATTGGCTTAATTAGAGTTACATCAAAAATCATTATTTAGACTATGCAATTTATCTTGACAATGGAGATCCTTAAAATAGATAATTGAGATTAGGCATCTTAGTGCGTGTTATTGATGTTCAGGTAAAAGAGACATTTACAAGTGAAAAAATATAATAGTAAAGAATAATTTTATAGGAATAATTGAAGAAAGATGAGAAATTCGCGAAAGCTCCAGTGACAAGCAAGATTAGAGAGAGTAGGCCTTAGATGGTTCGGTCTTGTTAAACGTCGACCATCTGATGACCCTACTAGGAGAATAGATGTTTTAAGTTTGACTTTTGTTAAGAAAGGTAAAGTTAGACTAGACCTAAAAAGACCTAAAAAAGCTTGAGCATATTGTATAAAAAATGATCTTAATTTATTAGGATTAAATGAAAATATGATACTCAATAGGACGCAACGCAAAAAAGGATTTATGTAGCCGACCACATCTAGTGGGACAGAATTTTGTTATTATTGTTGTTGTACTCGAAGAAAAATAGGTGAATAATATGTAATTTTAGCAGATATAAAGTAAATAATTAATATCAAAATTAGGAGATCAAGTACTGGTTAGGTTTGGTGAGTGGAAACTTTAGAATCCTTGGATTTGTTTTACAAAGAGATATAGTTCAATATAACGACTAGGATTAAAGACAGTTGTAGAAAGGAAGGAAATGCCTCAAGGCTTACGTATGATAAAAGAATCACTATCAAGAGTTAAATTTACAACAACAAAAAAACATTGTAGCAACGATATTGTATGGTACAAATTGATTAGAAATAAAAAAACTAATAGTAATCTAAGCGTGAAAAGCAATAGAACAATAACATGAATTTGTGGAACAGCTTGGAGTACTGGAACGAGGATGATAACACTAAAGAGATGGAGGAAATAGCGCCCAAAAAAAAAATGTAATAAGAAAAAAAAAATCATTGCATAATTTAAACAAATACAAATATGAAATAAGATAAGCAAATAAGTTGGGGAATACAATTACAGTTCAAGGGGAAAGAGGAACTCTTAGGACAAACTTGACACATGTCAAGTGTTCAAAAGTTCTTGAACACCGAGTTCATGATGGAGAGAGATTACAAATGTCACACCCCAATCAACTCCCTTAAGTCAACCTGAAGTATAACAATAGATAACGACTCCGACAGACTTCAATTTTCACCTGAAACGCATTTTGATATGTACTCATCAAGGTTGAACAAGTAGAGAATTAGTTTTGTAAAATTGCCACAAGCAAATTCTCACATTTTGACCCATTAATTAAATCTTTGATATTAAATATAAATCATGAAGTGTGTATAATCAATCCTAAAATACAATACAGAGCTTCTAAAAATACTTAAATATGAAATTCTATGTATTCCAAAAGTCTTCTATGATCTCCTAAAACTTTACACTCAAAGGCTATATAAAAAAGTCATCCGGCTAACGTTCCACCTGCTCCTTGCTCCTTTCTGAAAAACAACATTATATTATTTTGTAAGCTCTATGTTCAATGTGATAAAAAAATGCTAACATAATATTCAAACATATAAATAGAAAAATAATGTACACGCTAGTCAGAAGACTTACATAAATAACAACAGTCGTAATAAATAAACTTATTTTAACACTCAAATAGGAAAAAAAAAAGCCGCTTATAAACAGTAGATGCAACATTTGACATAAGAAAACAGAATTATTATTAAGTCACTTAAGTTACCATATCATGTAATATAATACGTGCACTTGCTTCACTTATATTTCCATTCATATTCTCAACCTCCTCTGTATCAGAAATTTCATATTATATTTGTATTGATTTTGATATAGTTTGTTTTATTAACTCGTCACCCAACCCATCAACCATAATAACAGTTAATAAAATTGGTTCTCTCAACATCCCTAATATTAATTGGCCCGTCACAACATTAATATCAAAAGTAAAAAAGTTTTTTATTTTCCAAACAAGGCTCATCTCGTCAGACTATTGTCATTCCCTGTGCAGGTCATCTATTTGGATAAACTTTCATTTTTTTGTTTAAATTCCACGTCTTTTGTCAATTCAGCAACAAACTTATAATTAGCATAATTAAAATTTTATTTTCTACGAATATCCTCTTGCATATCAGGCAAATGATATGAAACAAGAAATAAATATATTAAAATGCCCACATATGACTTGACGGATACTGATTTATAATTTTTGTTTAGAAGATGAGATGACAAAAAATGCCAAAGCAAATAATCCACACCAACATGATCTACAAATAAAGGTGGACAATCTCTTAAAAAGCAAACAACTTATATATTGATGGAGTATGCACTTTTAGATTTATCTAAATAGGTGAAATGTGAAATTTTATTTTATCTTAAACGCATTCTCAATTTCTTTACCAGATTGAAGCTATTTAAAATTCTCCACAAGTCTCCCTCTAAGCGCATGAAAATCAAGGAACCAAGAACCAAAAATAAAATCAATTTTTATTTTATTTATAGAAATTCTTCGCTAGAAACTTCATCAAAAGTTAAATCGACATGTTCAATGATTCATCAATTATAATATGCATGAATTTCATTTTTACAATAAGAAGTACATTCAATTTCAAGTGGAATTTAGCTTCACATTCAAGAGTAAATTTAGATTTTAAAGGCAATTTAGATTCAGAATTGATGATGAGTTCAGTTTCAGTTTAAAATTCAGTATGCAATCGGGGCTTAAATTTAAAATTGATCCCACATTCAAAATTCAGCTTAAGGCTCAACTTTTGACGCTTACATGGATATAACTTCAAGTATAAGAATAGGTTCTCATATGAGTAAAGATTCAAAATAAGATATAAATTTATATTGTAACAGCAAATCATCTTGAGCATCTAAAACATCCCAAAGTGCACTCATAACCAGTAGATATTTGAAAATGAACATAATCACCCATGCACTATTCTCTAGTCTGGGTATGTGTAACAAGCTTTAGAGGAGAAAGCAATGATTTCTCTTTAGGAAGCTATTTCCAAGGGTGAAAGTCCTCATAATATACCTTATATTCAAAACTCTAAACACTGCTTCTAATAGTACTTTCAGTGAATTATAATTAAGTTAATTCACAGTCTCCTGTCGAAGATCTTTGATGAAATAGTTAATGATAACAAAATGACTTTTGAGGCAAATGTTTTTCAGTCATAGAACTCATAAATCTATTGTAATATTAAAATGCAACATATTCATCTTGTTTACAACATTTTAATGTTCAAGCAGGTAACCTTGTAGTTACAAGATAAAAAATATTGCTCATTACAATCTCTAATCACTTTAGCTCAACTCATATGAATTCAGTTTCACATATAAAACTTTGTCACAATGATTAAACACAACCAACTATTTTTGATTTAGCACATTCGAGTCTTTTAGAATCAAACAGATGGAAATATTCAAAGAACTGTTAAAATTTTCATCCTCTTGATAGGGAGTGTGATCCGTGGCATACTGGTGTTAGATGAAGCATTCTGTTTATACTCCAGTTATCAGAGCTAGTTGTGAACCAGATAACCTCTTAGATACATTACCCGAAACCATTACAAGAATCAATAACAATAAATAAAGTAGAAAATGAGAGAAATGCAACAAAAAAACCCATAATTTGTGTAACCTTCAAATTATCTTCAATCTCATCCACCATTATTATCTCGCACCTTCCCGATGGCAGCAATCTCGTTTCCTTGCAACACTAATCCCCCTACAAACACAAAATGATCCAACTCAAAATAATCACGAAAAGAGACCAATAAATTGCTTCCAAATCCAATAATACTCGTCACCTTCCTCATCCAAGCAAGGCACCGAGGATTCAGTAGTGATTTTAACGAGATCTACAAACTCATAAACGTGAACGCCAAAAAACCTAATCGTGATTTCCGATTGTTTCTTCTCTTTCATTCATTGGTTCCGCTGCAAAAACTATCTATTTCAGGGTTTTGGGCATACCGATACGATGACTTCGGGCACGTCGTCATCTCGAGAAATGAAGAGAAAGCGGGAAACTCTGCAGGCGTTGCCGACCACATCAACAACTTCGGTGAGGCGGTGCTTCTTATCCTCTTCAATCTTCTGCCGGAGATCCAATTGTGTTGGATCGGGAAGGAGGCGGAAGAAGCGAGGAATCCACTGCTAGAATCCAAAGAACGGAAATGGGCTGCATGACTGAGTTGGGTGGCGGCATCACCAAGTTATAATAATCAATATGACATAGGCTGAAATGTGACTAGCAATATGTTAGTTTTGAGGTCAGTTACCAATATTTTAAAGCTTTGAAATGTGAGATATTTTCTTAGCCTAATACAACTTATAATCATATTTTATAACATAATAGTGTCATTTGGATGCTATTTATTTTGATTAATTCTCATCCAATGTGTTTACTTTTTTCCGTTTTCATTTTCACCTTTATTTGATGTCTAGTGATTATATATTGATTAATTTCTTTTACGTGTAAAACTTGTTAGCTTAATATGTCACATCTTTAATTTAATATGTAACAAAATGTCTTGATATGCTTTTTTTTTTAATGACTGGATTATACTTGACTGCTAATTTATGGGAATTGAAATTCTGACCTAGGGTTACAAACAAATCCATTTATAAACCTAGAAAGAGCGAAAAATGAAACCTTGAGTATAATATGTAATTAACAATTATACATGTACATCACCCCCAACCCACATAAGGAAACTTCCCTAATTTGGACAGAATCTTCTGCTCCAGCATCTGTCTCTTATATGATATATGAGTCATACCTAACAAATCTCCACTTTGGCGAATATTCAGCCCGTTAGGAGAAATACATCATGAAATTTCTGACATATCAGAAGAGGGTTGGGTCACCATGCTGCTCTAGCAACTGCAAACATTCTCTAGCATCGACGATTTCAGAGTAAGGTTTCCCATTGTTTGCGGTAGTTCGACCGGGCTTCTGAGAAAGTTCAGCATGGTCGGTTTCAGCGAGGTAGTTACAGGAGTCCGCGGGTTGGTTTCGCTCCCTCCAGGCGGTTGCGAGCTGCAGCGAGGACGCGCTGGGCGGACGGAATCAGGGAAGGAAGGGATCAATGGAATTTTTTTTATTTTTATCCCTTTGAATTTCCTCTGGAATTTCCTTTGCTGGAGGCTGAAGGAAGGAAACTTTGGATTTGAATTTCTCAAGGAAGAAAACTTTGGATTTCCTTTGTTGGAGTTGGAGTGAAGAAATGAACTTTGCTTGAGGTTCGCGGAGCGCTTTGAGGTTATTGGGAGTGAATTGGGCTCGCGGGTACGAACATGTGCGAAGCAGTTCTGATAAAGGGCTGCGACAGTTCTGTGAGTTCTGCTTCAGGAGTTCGCGGTAGAGGTCGGCCAGATAACAGGTTCGCGCGAGAGGGCTATAGCGACAACTGGATTTGCGACAGAAGAAATTGTGACAATTACAGTTCGGCTTGCGGAGTTTGCAAGTTTGTCGCAGAAGAAATTACGACAGGTGGAGTTCGCGAATTCCGTTTTCATTGGCAAGTACAATTTGTGATTTATAATTTTTAACAATTATAGGTCTTGTAGAGCCCTTCACTCAATGGTAATTTTCTTAATAAATCATCTTATAATTATAAGAAATGTAAGCGATTGTTTCATTGCCCTTGTGCTTATTACAATTACCTTTTTTGGACTTTATACTGAAATAAAGTTTTGTCGCTCAATTTAAAAGACTGCGTCAGCTTTTTTGCATTTTTTATGCATTCATTCTGATAAATTTTTCCTTTAAATTCTTGATTTTATGCTTTTGAAAGGTTGAAATTATATTTTCCAGATTACAGTAGGATTAGCACGTAATCGTAGCAAAACAAGAATTTTGAGAAAAATCAGGCTAGCGTAGCCGCGCCTAGATCTGGCGTGGCAACGCCATGCGAGCGGTGTAGTCACGCCAACTTTCTGGCGTGGCCACGCCGTGAACATGAATTCTTGTGAAACCATTTGCTCTCGACATAACCACACCATCTTTCGGGCGTGGTCATGCCCTCTCTATCACAATCGTGCCTCTGGAGTCTAGGCATAGCCATACCCAAATGCAGCGTAATCACACTGCTCAAAAATAGAGAGTGGCATAATTACACCATAAATCGGGCAAGGTCACGCCGACGTATATTCTTCAATTGGAAAAATTTGAAGTGTAAGATTCTGATGATTTTTTGAAGCAATTTGAACTCAAGCTATAAAAAGGGCATTATGGAAGAGTGGGGAGCGTTTTAGAGAGAATTTTAGGTAGAGGCTAGAGTTTGAGAGAGTTCTTCTTCTCTTCTCCTATTTTGGTCTATTTTCGGTGAGTGGTGTTTGAGAGAATTTATTTTTGCCGCTTTTGTAAGAGAGGATTGACAAATGACTATAAGTTTATTTTTACTATGATGAAGATGTTTCTTGTCGGTTTGAGTTTTAAGGGATTTTTTTTTTAAATTTTTCTCTCAAAATTTGAATAGATAAATTAACTTTCATGTCTCTGTGTTTTGTGAATGGTTTTCTTGACTTGATTCTTTGTTGTCTATTTCTCATAACACCTTCTCTGTGCTTTGAATTATTTAATTGTTGGTTAACATTTTGGTGTTCGTTTCCTCCTAATCTAACCAGTTATGATATTAAAATCAATCATGATCTACGAATGCGACAGAAGCTTAGTAGAATGTTTAAGTTAACCACAATATTTGATTAGAATAGGAATGTTTTATTTTGGATCTGTCAACTAGTTATGGGGATCTGAAAATTATTGGGGGTGCCATAAAAATAAAAGAAAGTTATCTTTGTGGAATTCCAACTTTTCTTTTGACCTAAGCATAGGCTTAAGAAGAAAATATCATCCCTGGTTGACAACAACTATGTAGGAGAAATTGCATGAAAAGTAAAGCCAAGTGTCAAACTTGAATCACAGAGGCACGATCCTCGACAATCTTGAAGAAACGCCAAAGCAATTTGATTTGTGCTTTCCTCTGTTTTTGTTTTTCGCCGACTTTGATAGATTTAGGAATTGTTTTCACTGTTTTCTGAATCACGCCGAACTAGGTTGGAATAGTTCTTACTGTAGCTTCACCTGTTCAAATTTGTTTCTTAACACACTTGATTGTGGGAACGATATGCGGTCCTCTTGCAAATCACTTATTACTTTGAGATGTATTCTTGTGTGCAGTGTCGTCCGCTTCGCGGCGATTTTACGGGCCTCATCGATCGCTTGGTAATATGAGTGCCTTCATGAGTTATCAGTGCGAGTTCGAGTCGAGCGATGAGGATTGTGTCTTGGCTTTAGGTTTTCTTCATGTTGGATTTCTTTGGTAGATGACAGTTGACTTGCTTGGTTCTGAATGATATAGAGGAGTTGTATTCTTTTACAGATATGTTGCTATTGGCTAGTTTCTACAACTTGACTAATGTCTTCGATCACTATAGTCCTAGCTCGTATCAAAATGGTTCTTCCTGTCGGGGATGTTGTTCTCTTTCTTGAGTCAATGTCTATTGGATGACATCCAATATTTGAACCTTCAGGTCTTGGATTTACTGTTTCACAAACTTTCTTATGTACTATATATTGTCGGTGTCTCTGTTGTGAGTTTCTTCTATGTGTGCTGCTCATCTTCTTGTGTGTGACATGATCCACACTGACCACACTTTTTAAGATGTTAAATCATGACTTGTTTGTGAATCACACCCCAGAAAATATAGTGTAATATGAAGAGAGAGAGAGAGAGCGACAAAGTGAGGAGTGAACAATAATGAACAATATTACATCATTTATATCCTTTTATTGCTCATAAAATGATCCCCTATTTATAGTGGAGAGGGAACAATATACCAATATTATATTTTTTACCACTGCTTTAATGAAGGTTGTACAAGATGTTCCAAGTATTTTATATATATGAGTTGATCGCTTGATTGCTCTCTGACTCGATCGGCTTAGTTTGTTTAGCTTTAGCTTGGTAAGATCGGTTCGATTGGCTAAGCTGAGCCGACATTGCTGGTCGGCTGAGTTTGATTGGCTTCGGGTCTTTAACATAAGCTCTCTTTTATCGTATTCTTTTCTTTCTGGACCAATAGATCTCATCACGATCAGCATTTTCACATTTTTTTGATGTACACTATGTAAGAATATAGTAGTCTTAAAAATTTACAAATAATAATTTAATCAACATGTCACTTTTCTAGTTAAAAAATTTCAATCATAAACTTCAATTCAATCATTTATAGGCTAAAACTTTTGGTAGATTCTCTCATTAAAATATTGGTAGTTAATCCATAATTTCTATAATGCATTATTATGGAGAGATTAAATTCTTAGAGACCCAATGGAAACAATGTGCTTGGATTCATACCATCAACTAGTCAAGTACTAAATATTTTGATTTGACTTGAAATGTTTTAATTTTGACCACCGTGATAATTGACTTTTTTATTATCTATGCAAATTTCAAAATTGTGAAAATCTAATCAGCATCCAACTAAAAGAAAAAATGTTAAATTATTTAATGATTGAAACAAATATCATAATAAAAATTTTAAATTATTCTAATATAATTTAAATAATAATATAATGATATATTAACATCATTTTTATTGACTCAATAAATAACATTATAAATCAAAGCTTTAAAACATAATATTTTTTCTAATTTTATTTAAATATCTTATTTATGATCATCCCATCAAAATTAAAAGATTAAAATTAGACAATATCTGAATCGGTTGATTCTTTAAAAGACAGATCGGTTTGTCGCTTCAACCCCCAATTCTAACCGGTTCAATCTTGATTTTATATGCATAAATAATTTTGAGTTTGGACCTAAGTAGTTGAATGACCAGTTCATTGTTAAACCGGTCAGAACCAACCTTCAAGTTCGATCCGATTTTTAAAATCATCAAAAATACAAACGTTATATTATGTAATATAAATATAAAACTAAATCCAACAAATATACAGCCTTCTATATGAACAAAGAAAACATTAGAATTTGTGAAAGTGATCTTAGTTAGTTGAGGAAAGGCTGATTATAATGATGTTGATTGCTCCAATGATTGAAATATTCATCAATACTTAAAAAATAAAAAAAAAAAAAAACAAAAAATAGATGGAAGAGTATCTCTGCTAAGTGCTAACTATGACTTGGAGGCAGGTGGCTTGCGACGTGATTAATTGGCCGCACCGGTAAACATGGCAGGTAGGCTCCAGGTCCTTTACAATTCATATCATAACTGCACCGGTTATACAAGTCAAATAATTCACTTTTAAAATAAAGGGGCTGTCTGGCATTAAAAAAAAAAAAAAAACATTTAAGTTATTAGGATTTACTAAACTCTGTAAATTTAACAATAGTTGAAATCTTTGAAAACCGAATTTATCAAATTAGCGGTTTTATTGTCTAAAATGCCGGCAACAGGATTTTTACATCAAGATTAAAGGCTTGTTTGGGGCAGCTTATAAGTGAGTCGGCGTTTTTTAAAACGTTGATTAACCGTTTGATTTGCGCATTTTTGAAAACACTGACTCTCATGTTTGAGCTTTCTACACTACACGTAGGCCGCGGGTCGTCCGCAACGGTCGATCTATGGGCCGCATTTTAGAATAAGCTGCTTATGCTGAAACACACAAGCTGCCCCAAACAGACCCTAAATCCTGTTCTAAATCCTTTGCGAGAGGGACCCTAAAATTAGAAATATTTAAGGTTTTTTTGGGATCAATTTCTCTTGTATATTTATATTTCTAGTATTTTTTTTTTTGTTTTGTTTCATTTTCTATTTTTAGAAAATAAGGTTGATATTGTTATGATTTATATATTTTTAAAAACAAAAAAAATAAAAATATTTGGCTGAGCATGTTTTATTTTTTAAAAGAAAAAACTATATATTTTTTATAAAATATAATTGAATACACGTACGCTTCAATATTAAGCTCTGTCGTCCATGACATATACGACGTATTGCTTGCTCCATTTAATGCTAAGCATTACCTTGGGTGGGCGGGTAGGCAGCGGCTACGATGGGTCAGAGCGGGCGGCAAGGATCTTCATGATTTTAATTATAATTTTAAATATTTCCATATCCTTGAAGGAAAAAATATAAAAAAAATAGGAAAATTTCATACACACCACACAAATCGTATTTATTTACACATTGATAATTTTAATGTGATTTTAAGATGTGTGATGTAAATATGTTGAAGTTTAGATTTATAAAAAAATAAGAATTATATTATGATACACAAGAAAACATTTTAAAATAACATTAAATTTATAGACATAATTTAAATGATGAGTGCATGATTGCAAAGATTTATATTTAAATTAATTTGCCTATTTACATGATTGTATCCAAACCGTTTCCAGCCATTCCTGTTTGCTAAAGATGGAAACAGACCGCCAAGTCGGCGAAAAAATATTACATCAGTACTACGCACTTAGTAATACCGTGCGTAGCCAATAAAATCACGCCACGCGCGATAGGAGAAAAAAACGGCACAGTAACACGAGGAATATTCCTCCCCGTGTTATTCATGTGTTATTGCGTGTTATTCATGTGTTATTGATGTGTTATTGTGTTATTATAACACTAAGAATATTCTCATGATACAATAACGCATGAATAATACACAATAACACTTGAATAACACGGAGAATATTCCCGACAGAGAAAAAAACGACGCAATAACACAGGAAATATTCTTATCCGTGTTATTCATGTGTTATTATGTGTTATTGATGTGTTATTGATGTGTTATTATGTTATTATAACACCAAGAATATTTCTAGAACACAATAACACATGAATAATACACAATAACACATGAATAACACGAAAGAGAATATTTCCCGTGTTACTGTGCCGTTTTTTTTCTCTGTCGCGCAGGGTGTCGTGGCGTTATTTTATTGGCTACGCATGTTACTCTAGGTGCGTAGCACTGATGTAATATTTTTTCGAAGTCGGCATCCCTTCCGCCATACGATAAATCAGCGGCTACACGATTCAAATTCATGAAATTAAAGAATTTTGAAAACCAATACATCTTCCTTTAAATGTTTACCTAAACTGTCAGGCCATGGAGATGTAGCCGCCGGTGGGAACCAGAAGAGGAGATAAGGAGAGTAAAAGATGATCAAAGCTTATAATGTCAAATCGGAAGCACACTTGGATTTGAACAGAAGTTCAAATGTAAAATTAAAGGAAAAAACAATATCAGAAATCAGACCAAATCCAAACCCTAGGAACAAGAATAAACAGTTTAAGAAAAAGAAACCTACAAAATCACTCACTGAAAATAACTCAAAACAGAAACCGAAGGATAGCGGCGATGGCAAAGCCAACAATAGAACTGGAAATAATCCCCGCGCGAGGAGCAGCAGAATGATCATCGGACGGAGGAGGGGAAGGGGGAGGAAGGGGATGCGCGAGAATGGAAACCTTCATGCCCTGATAACAATACCCATAGCTACATATAAAGTAATACCGCTTAGTCTCGTTGAGCTCGAAGGCGTAGCTCCTTCCCTTGCTGTAATTAGAGATCGGGTGAGACGCATCGCACTTGTTGTAGGCCGTCTCGTCGACTTGCACGACATCGGCCATGCCGGACTGGTAGTAGAACACTGAAAACAGGAGTTCGCGGAAGAGATGTGTCAGATCTGGGAAGGGGGAGAGAGAGATTGGAGGGGAGAGTGGTGGGTTAGGGTTAGGGTTAGGAGGAGAGTACCGAGCCAGTCGCCGACATGGAAGGGACGGTGCTTGTTGACCCAGAGAGTGTAGTTGACGCCGGGGTTCCAGCCTTTCTCGTCGCCGACGTTGTACTTGTTGGCGTAGGAGGAGGAGATTAGGAGGAAGAAGGAGAGGAGGAGGATGGGCATTGCCATGGAAAAGGAGAAGAGGGAGAGAGAGGGAGAGGACTGTGTGAAGAGTGAGGTTCGGCTTGGCTGCCTTGCTGGCTTTTATCTGGCAGGAGGGGCTGCGAGGTGAGAGAGATCACATGGGAGGATTACATGCGGAGAGTGCGGGCACATGAGCCAATGGCCTTTTGTTGCTTGCTCTTTATTACAAGAATGCCATGGGATGGAGGTGAAATTTGTAATAGCCTAATAGTATTAGTAGTTTTACACTTTTTAGTTGTCAAATATTTAGAATATGTAATGTGATCTAGACTCTGGGTAAGAAGAAGACTAGAGCCTGCATAATTTCTTGCACCATAGATTTGGCCAACTCCAGACACTGCCGGTACCCTCGTCCCATGAAATACTCCAATAACATAAAGAGAGATTTAGAAATTTAACCCATATAGAAATAGCTCTGAAATCCTCTTTCATGAGTTTAAAGTCATGAATCCATCTTTTGAATAAATGGTTTATTGTCAATATACCAAGGTCTTCCCAATTGGTACATTTCAAGATCTTCCATACACAAGAATTTAAAGAGGAAAAAATCCATACGTAAGAGATATAAGATCAACATCGCTTTTTTATCTTTATATCTTTCTAAAGGTTTGAATCTAGTTATCTTAGAAAATTCTCTTACCTAGAGCATAACCCACTAAAGTGAGATTTCACTGTAAGGAATCTTCCCCCACATCATGATTTGAAAAACAAAGGTTATCATCTGAAGAAGATATAAAATAAAGATTAAATCTAGAAGAAGTAGTAAGATGTGAAGTAATCAACCCTTTCTGGTTGAGGGAAGGGTCCGAGTCAAGAAGAGCATGAGATGAGGGAAAGAAGAAGAAAGAAGGGGGAAAGAAGGGATATCCATATGAGTTGAAGACGGGCTAAGTCCCTAAAACCATAAAGAACATCATAAGAAGAAAATAAGAGAATTACTAGTGTTTTTCCATGAGAGATTGAGTAAAGAAAGATATGAAGTTATCACTCTCTTATGAGAAATGGAAAAAGATATTATTAAAACCCTGAGAAAGAGCTATTTTAATTTTTTTGACGATGCAAATAGATGTGATTAGAGAGTAGATGATTTGGTCATATTAAACGTCGACCATTAGATGATCCGGTTAGGAGAGTAGATGTTTTAAATTCGACTAGTGTTAAGAAAGGCAGAGGTAGACCTAGGAAGACTTGGGCTTATTGTATTAAAAATGATCTTAATTTACTAGAACTAAATGAAAATATGACACTAAATAAGACTCAATGGAGAAAAAGGATTCATATAGCCGACCTCATGTAGTGGGAATAAGGCTTTGTTGTTGTTGTTGTTGTTGTTGTGCAAATAGATGTGATGTAGAATAAAAGATGGTACTATTTATGTTGGAAATATGATTCGTTAAGGAGATGTAATTGTATTTTAGTTACACAAGAATTGTAACATACTAAATTACAAGGTTCGTAACATACTAAATTTAGTGGAGACTGAAGTTTATAGGCAAAAAAAAAAAGGTTTTTATAGTGTTGTGACTTACTTAGAGATAGTTATATGCAAGTTGAAAGGTAATCTTGGTTTTGATGTGACAAAGTGGCTCTTAGGAACCCAATTATTGAATTGAATGATAAAAGCTTTTTAGTTTTTATAATGGAAAATTTACACAGATGATACCCAATTCTTATGTATATATGTTTCTAAAGCCTAAAATTGGATATTTACACTAATAACATTTTGTTTTCATAAACCTATACATGAAAAGGTGGATTTTACTTTTAAACTGTTAATTATTGTGATATTTTTATATGATGTTAAAAAATTTTAGTATTAAGCATATACACATTAAAGTTTGTGTTAGATTCGTAGATGCATAAGAATTGTGTGGGATGCATGTAATTTCCCCTTTTATATTATACATTTTAATCTTTATCAAAATTATTAGAGATGAGTATCAACAACAAAAAGTTGTACATCACTAAATGCTTGTACTAGTTAGTCGCATCATTCGACAGGCCACTCCAACTGACCGACTAGCAACTTCATCGGATGAATTTGTCAATAAAAAGATGTCAAATAAATTGAAATATGTCTAACGTATGAAAATGTGCCAACAAAGACCAGTAACTCTTAAGAACGTAATAACCGATAACTCTCTCGATTTCTATGTTTTATGTCTTGTGCGTGATATACATTACAGATTTGAATCCAACAATCATGGCCTTTATGCTCAAATTACAAGCGAATAATGATGCACTTATGCTAAACTGCTCAAACAACCCTTAAGTTCACCTTAGCAGTCAATGGTGACCTCACAACGTCCATGATGTTTGACCAGTGATTTAAACATATCATATTGTATAACTTCATCTTATGATTGCATTGATATCGAGTAATTAAGTTTTAATTGGCCACAAACTCCAAGTGCCATGTGAGTTCTATCAGATGTTGATTAAATAACAATTTTACTGATGCCAAAAGCTTTTGCTTCAAATTTGTAATGCATGTAACCCCAGGAGAGATTATGAGAAAAATAAGTGAAGATAGATTTACATACATACCCTACAATTCTTATATATATACATGTGGCAACATGCAAAATTTGGTATTTGTCAAGGTTGTGAAAGCTAGATCAGACATTGAACCGGGAAAAGTAGATCTTCAAGATTCAAAGATTCAATCTGGATTGAACGGAATGTTGAACTAGATGAAATGATGTAACAAATATTAAAATTATTTTAATATGTTTTAAATGGTATAATAGTATTATTGAGGAACATTTACATGCATACCACTCCACTTCTTTGTATTACCTAAAACCTAAACTTCAATTTTTTATGTATATGACACCTTACCTAAGCATAAAAAGGTGTATTTCACTATTTTAAAGTTAAAATAATGGTATTTTTTATGTGATAGATAAGATTTGGGTGGTACAAATGTAAAATTCAAAGTTTAGGTATTAGATATGTAAATAAACAATAAGAGGGTGTTATGTATGTAAATGTCCTTATTATTTTTATCAATTAGGATAAACAACGATTTTAATTTTGAGATTAGATGTAACCGGTCCAATTCAATTTTTAAAATCATGTTATTTATATTTATATCAATTTGTTGACACAAATTTATGCATAAAAATAAATATATCTGCGTACGTCATGAGGTTATTTAGAGAGTATAAGGGGATTATAACCGTATTATATTCTCTTTAATCTCTCTATAACCTATTTATAATTTATTTGTAATATATAAATAAATTTCATGCTTCTATAATTTCGATAGTTAAAGATAAGTTTGAATAACCTCCTACAAACTACTCACCTATGCAAATATTTTCCCTCATAAGAAACCACTCAAAACTTCCATCCTCAAAAGTCAAAACCGGAGAGCCCCTCCTAGCACCCGTTGCCGGTCATCTCCTCCGCTGCCGCCACCATGTCCGGTCATCTCCACGCATCCCAATTCACCTCCCCCCGCCGCCTCCTCGACCATCATCTTTCCGACCTTCACAAATGCTCCGACCGTCACCGCCTACTCCAACTCCACTCTCAAATCTTTCGTCTTCACCTCCACACTAACCCCTACATCGCCTCCAAGCTCATCGCTTCCTACTCCCTCTGCCTCCTCCCCTCCTCCTCCGCCGCCGTCTTCAACCTCGTCACCGAACCGACCTCCCATCTCTTCAACACCCTCATTCGGGCCTTCGCCCAAAACTCCCTCCCCTCCCACTCCTTCGCCACCTTCTTTCGCATGCAGCTTTCCTCCATTAAAGCCGACTCCTTTACCTACCCTTTCCTCCTCAAATCCTTCTCCGGCTCACTCCGCACCATCGAGCTCATCCACGCGCATATTATTAAGCTGGGCTTCCTCTCCGACACCTTCGTTCCCAATTCGCTTATCGATTCCTACTCCAAGGCCGGCGAAGCGGGCTCAGCCGGTAAAGTTTTTGATGAGATGTCTGTAAAAAATTTGGTATCGTGGAATTCAATGCTCGCTGCGCTTGCTAGAGCAGGGGATGTGTGGGGTGCACGAAGGTTGTTTAATGAAATGCCTGACAAGGATAACGTGAGCTGGAACAGCATGTTGGATGGTTATATAAAGGCTGGTGAAATGGATGCAGCGTTTGATTTGTTTTGCAGAATGCCTGCAAGGAATGTGGTGTCTTGGTCCACTGTGGTGTCGGGTTATTGCAATGAGGGAGACATGGAGATGGCAAGCATGATGTTTGATAAAATGCCTGTTAAGAATGTGGTTCCATGGACGATAATGATATCTAGTTATGCTGAGAAGGGCCTCGCTAAAGAGGCTTCGGCCTTGTTGGATCAAATGGAGGAAGCTGGCTTGGAACTCGATTCTGGTGCTGCTGTTAGCATTCTTGCTGCGTGCGCTCGGTCGAAATTCCTCGAGTTGGGTAAGAGAATCCATGATACTGCCAGGAGGAAAAAAATGACTTTTACTACTCAAATTAGCAATGCATTGATTGATATGTATTCAAAGTGCGGTGATTTAGATGTGGCATGGAACATCTTTGAAGAAATGGAAGAGAAGGACTTGGTCTCATGGAACTCTATGCTTCATGGCCTTGCTTTGCACGGGCATGGTAAGAAATCTCTGGAACTGTTTGCTAGGATGGAGGAGGAAGGGATAATTCCTGATGGTTTTACCTTCGTTGGAGTGCTCTGCGCTTGTACTCACCTAGGGCTCATCAAAGAGGCTCGTAGATATTTCAGCAGTTTGCAGAAGGATTATGGGATTGTTCCCAGGATTGAGCACTATGGATGTCTTATTGATATTCTTGGGCGAGGAGGTCTTCTAATGGAGGCTTACAGCCTTGCCAAGTCGATGCCTTTGGAGCCTAATGCTGTAATATGGGGAAGTATTCTCAATGCTTGCAGGTTTCATGACAATGTAGGCATTGCGGAGAAGATTACTGATGAATTGCTAAGTCTGGAACTATCAGAAGAAGGGAACTTTGAAGTTATTTCGAATATATATGCAGCAGCTGGAAGATGGGATGGTATAGCTGAGGCTAGGTTAAAGTTGAAAGATTTTAACAGGCATAAGGTGGTAGGATCAAGGCGTATTAAGATCAATGAGGCAGTGCAGGAGCTTGCTCTGGAAGAGGGAATTCACCCTCAGGCAGATAGAATTCTCAGGATGCTTAATAGGCTGGGAAAGCATTTGAAGAAACTTGGATTGATAGGTAAAGGAGATACTTCCATGGCTTTTGTAAGTTCTCATTGATGCAGGCTGGAGCAATATTTTTGTGAGCTGGAGTTTTGGCTGAAAGTGAATCTTTACTGCTGATGAGATTCTGCCAATGTGTTATGAGGAAGATGGGGAGATATAAAAAGCACAGTTTGGTGAGCTGAATCTGCAAAGTGTTAGTTTCAGTTTTCTATTATTAGGGAGCTTGATTCATGTCCTGCTCCAAGATCAGAACTTTTCTGAGGTCAACAAGGATCATGTTTATTCATTGCTGTGACTGAAACTGAAATTGCTGAAACTTTAAAGTGCTGGCTATTGAAACTAGCCTCATCAATATCAGTTAAAATGATTCAGGATATTTTTTGTAAAATCGAGAGGTGAATGCAGATTGAAATTCGGGAGGATGCCCTTTGTATATTAAAAGGAATGTGAAATGAACATTTGAGGTTTCTGCATGGTGGACCAGCAAACGCAGTAAGTTTCAATCAAATTTAGTTATGATCATTTAAAATGTCTGCTAAATGGCACTTTAAATGTACTAATTAAATCTGTGAATATTAATTGCATTTATGCTAATCTGTTGATCATAATTATAATACTATTTATTGGCAAGTTACATTTGTGAGAGTTGAATTACTATCCTTATTGTACAGAACAAGTAGTGTATAAATGACAGATATATTTGTGAACAAAGATTTATATTTGAATCTATATGATTTCCTCTTTTCTGTTAAGTTACAAGCTACACTGTTCATCTTATTTTTGCACTTGAATAGCTATGTTTGAGATAATTTTTTATGTTATTGCATATTTCTAAAATTTGGTCATTTATATATAAGAGGTTTGTCATGTCTTCATCATTTAGGGGTGTTGGTTCCAGTTGTTTATGACTAGGGTTAATAAACCTCTTTTAAGATCCCATCGTTTCATATTTGACTTGAGTCAGTTTGCTTAATAAATGTGATATCATTGGATTTGTATAGCCGAATGCCACCAACCAAGCCTGAAATTAGGAACCAGTTGTTCGTTGAGCCAAACTAAATGTACATCCTTAAGGAGGACTTTTGAGTTCCTCAGCTACGCACCAGCTGTCGAGCACGAGTTCAGAATAAAAGGTTAGACAATTCTCCAGGCTGACTAAACCCTACCACTTCAACTACTCAATCAGCGGGTTATATTTAATAGCCCGTCTATGATGATCAGCACATGTAACTTGGCTGAGGTCACTTCAACTAAGTTAAGTGGTCGACTCTCCACTGAAGACAAATTGAACAACACCAACTACATTGCTTGGAAGTCTTGCATCAAATCAAATTTTATTGGCCAAGATTTATGGGATATGGTCAATGACATGAAAACTATCATGTTGACAAGTGATCCCAGCCTTGAAATATTAAAGACAAAGTAGCGAATCGATGTTAGGAAGGCTATGTTTATGCTCAAACTTATGATGAGTGGGACACCTTATGTGAATTCAAGAGATTGGTCGTTTCTTGGCACTCGGCTCTAGAACCAATGATGCACAAATTCAATTATTTTGAAGAATGATATTGTATCACTAAAGCTAGGTAACATGATTGCCATTTTGTTTTTTGCAGCATATACATACTTAACATACAATTCTTATGTATATACACATCTCACACCTAAACTTCCGTATTTACACACGTATTACTTAAATCTTTCATAACACATCATACATAGCACTATTACGGATTTTTAAAAGTGAAAGACTTTTTCATGCATTGGTTTTGTTGAAATCCAAAATAATGCGAAATCATTTTATTGATCTAAAAGAGGTATAAATAACCCTTACATGAATCATAGAATAAGAAAGACAATAAAAAAGAAATAACATGAAAGGAAATATATAACTTCTAACATCTCCAATTAATAAATTCACATTAATTAATTTTGAGATAAACGAAACAACATAAAATATGAAAGCCTAAAATATAAAGCAGAATAAATCTAATCCAAGAAAATAATTATAAATTACGAAAGGAAATAACTCATAATATAAGGAAATAATTTATTTCTCATAACTTCTCGCAGGAATAATATGGTTCCTAATATAATTTCTAACACTCCCCCTCAAGTTGAAACATGGTTGAAAATCATGTTCAACTTAGATTTGAGAACATCAATGAGTGAGAAAATCTTGAGAGCTAGAACTTGAAGTATTTATCGCGTACTGCGATTGTTTTTTGTTGCAGTTTCTGCAGTGTCTGTAGGTAGGTGGAAAACTTCTACAGATAATGCTGCAGGAGAGATTTCATGAAAGTTGACAACAGCGGTTGCAGTTCCTACAGCGTCTGTAAGTAGACATAAAGCTACTACAAGTAATACTGTAGGGGAGTTTGCAGGAAAGTTGACAGCTGTGATTATCTTTGACTGCAGTTCTTGCAGTGTTTATAGGTAAACATAAAGGCTCCTACAGGTAATGCTACATGGGAGTTTGCAAGGAAGTAGACAACCAATAGAAAAAAGCTGCAGGGTATGACCTGTAGAAAAAAAACTCTGGAGATAGGTCTCGTTACAGGAAAAAACTCTGGAGGAGGACGTGTTGCTAGAAGAATTCAAGTAGAGGGCCTACTACAGTGAAGCTCTGAAGGAGGGCCTGATATAGGTAAGATTTTCGGGTGAGTGTTGCGAATATGGAAATTGGTTCACTGTTCAAATTGATATTTCCTCATGTTTGGAAACAAATTAGATTTGATACTCGAAATTAATTGCTAAATTAAATGCTCTTAATTCATTCTATGATTTGCTGCAGAAAAGAAAATGAAATAATTAATGAGCTTCATTAATTATTGTATTGATTCCTTAATGAGCATAATGACATGATGAAATTAATAATTAGACATGCTAGCTCCCCATATTATCTCTTCGACATTGGTAGTTTTTCAGGTTCTTATGGTGTGCTTCGGTTTGAAGCTCTCGAGTAGAGAGAGGGGAGATGAGGAGAGGAGTGAGAAAGAGGTAGAGAGAAAAAGTACTTTCTTGTAATCGTCGAGGTGATCAAAGGGTGTAATTCCTCAAGCTAATAAAATCCTCTGCAGCTCCGTGAACGTAGGTAATTTTTCGAACCACGTAAATTTGTGTGTTTCGTTGTTTTCTGTTTTGCGATTTTTTTCAATCCGGTTTTTCCCTTTATTGCCGTCGTTTTTTACAACAACTGGCATCAAAGCTCAGAATCTAAGGGAAAACGATGGTCGGAGATAATGTGATGTCATCGGAGATCGAGAAGTTAGTGACACAGATTTTGGTTACTGAAGGATGCAGATAGAAAAAGATTACCTCTATGAGAGAAAACTTCGTCTTTCATTACTGGGAAAGCGACTGGAAAAGATGGATTCCCTGCCAAGGACTCAGACTTGGGAGCTGACAGAACTTCCACCAAGGAAGAAGACATTGCATAACAGGTGTGTGTACCGGATGAAGACTACGCTTGATAACAATAAGAGGTATAAGACTAAACTTGTTGAAAAGGGCTTTCAACTGAGACAAGATATTGCCCATGCAGTGGGAGTTGTAAATAGAAACATGAGTAACCCGGGAAAAAACTTGGAGGTACAAGACTATGTTGACGCTGATATGTCGACTGAGAGTATTACTCTTGAGAAACTGAAGTTGTGCTCGACTTCAGTTGGTTTTCTGGCATGAAAACCGGAGCTTTGAGTTGCAAAGGTGAAAAATATCACATTTGAAGAAAAGGGCGACGCAGCTGGTGGATGATGCAGCCAGTGTATCAATCTTTGAGTAGGCGATTTGTTGCGAATATGGAAATCAGTCTATTGTTCAAATTGTTATTTTCTCATATTTGACAGCAAATTGTATTTGATATTCAAAATTAATTGCTAAATTAATTACTCTTGATTCTTTCTATGATTTGCTGCAGAAGAGAAAAATAAATAATTAATGAGTTTCATTAATTATTTGATTGATTCTTTAATGGGCCTAATGACATGATAAAATTAATAATTAGGCATGCTAGCTCCCCATGTTATCTCTCTTCGGCATTAGTTGTTTTCCAGGTTCTTCTTCTGGTGTGCTTCAGTTTGAAGCTCTCGAGGAGAGAGAGAAGGAGAGGAGGAGAGGAGAGAGAAAGAGGTAGAGAGAGAGTGTTTTATTGTCATCGTCAAGGTGATCGACATGTGTAATTCCCCAAGTTAATAAAATCCTCCGCAGCTTTGTGGACGTTGACAATTTGCCGAACCACATAAATCTGTGTGTTTCGCTGTTTTCTGTTTTACGATTTTTCCCGATCCGATTTTTTGCAAAGCTCTAGAGGAGGGCCTGTGGTAGAAAAGTTCCAGACGAGGGCTTAGTACAGGAAAAAGTTCTGAATGAGTGAAAGGCTCCGGAAGAGGGTCTACTGCACGAAGAATTCAGGTGGATATGTTTTAAGAAAAGCTCTAGAGAAGGGTGTTGTAGAAAAGTTTCGGAGGAGGGTCTACTGCAGGAAAGATTTCGGAGGAGGGCTTGATGCAAGAAAAGCTGCTGCAAAAAAGATCTCCTCCAAAAAAGGCTTCGGAGGAGGATTTTCGGCAGGAAAAGCTGCCGGAAAATGTTTTGGAGGCCTGTTGCAGGAAAAGTTCCGGGGGAGGCTTGCTGTAGGAAAAGTTCCGGAGGTAGGGCTGTGGAAGGAAAGAGTTCTGGAAGGCGTGCTATAGAAAAAAAGCTTTGGAGGAGGGTTTGCCGCAGAAAAAAGCTGCAAAGAAGAGCCAGACTCAGGAGAAGAAAGGCTAATGGTACTGACTGATAGCAAGCTCTCTTTGCCCGGACAATGTCCTCAACCTGAGGAAGAGCCACTTCTCCAGATTTGCAACATTTGGCATTGGAATATCAGCTCCTGTAATCCTCTTGAAGTCAGAATGAAGTTCACGACCCCTCTCGATAGCTTTGTCACAGTCAATTATACAATCTTCATACTTCCCCATCTCTGAGTAAACAGCAACCCTATTAATCAGAAAAGAGATGTCCTTGTCATCAATCTCCAATGCTTTGCTTTAGTTTATTGATTGATCGCTGTCTCAAAATCTTTCTTTTTATAGGCTGCGTTTCTCGCTTCCTTCTCCTTCGCTTCGCCTGCCATGGGACAGGAAAGAGGAAGAAGACAGATAGCAGCATATCGAATTGTTGAATGGTAGAAAGTCCGGCTTTTGTGGTTGTGGAGAGTTGACGGCTGATCCATCTACAAGGGCGTATCTACGACAAGCAGATTTTGTCACGATGCTCCAGGAGGTTCAGAAGAACCCTAAGAACCTAAATTTGTATCTTCAGGACCAGAGCATGATGCAAGTGCTTGGGGTTTTGCTTAATGTGAAGATGCGGGATCCTTTACGGGATGAGATGGAAAATGACTTTCTTGAGCTTGGAAGAGAATACCGCAAGCTGAGACAACAAGTAGGGCGCCGCCAAAAACGGAGCCGAAACCGGAACATATTGAATTCACGGATGAGGGGAAAGGCTTGATGCAAAGAAAGGTAGAAAACGGGAAGAAGGGGCCGGCGGCTGGAAAAAAAAAAAAAAACAGCAGCTGAGTTCTGCAGGTGGCGCTCATTTTCCACAAATGATTAATTTGGAAG